CTGCCACGTCCCCCCTCCCTGCCCCAGCACTGGCGCCTTGGCTGCTTTTCCATGCGAGAGGTTGAGACTGATACCTGCAAATCACGCTGGGACTGGGGGCTGAGAGATGCTGTCATGTTGGTTTGTTGTTTAATTTATCCTGACAATGCTAATCACTGAGCAGGGAGCCCTAACTCTGCTTTTCGTTCCCTTCTCCGACAGTCATCAATGCTTTATCTCAGCGCTATTTCTTACAAGCCAGCGATCAGAAGGACCTGCAGGACTGGGTGGAGGCACTGAACCGGGCCAGTAAGATCACGGTAGGTTGTTGTTACGCTGGTGTCTGCTGTTGCTGTGTCCTGCCTTGATGGGCCACTCGATAAAAGCCTGGGAGAGCTGTGCTTGCCCTTCTTGTTGTGCTCTCCTCCTCCGTTGCCTCCCTGGTCCTGCTGAGGAGCGGTGATGGTGGTGGCTGGGCTATCCCCAGCCTGGCAGCAGGTCTGTGCCAAACTTGCCAGGTTTTCTTCTGGGTTAGTGCCAAGGAAGAGTGGGTGCAGGCTTCTCTGGGCCTGGCTTTAGCAGTGCTGCCAGTCTTTAATGCCAGCAGGGCTTTACTAGGTCATGCACTGCTGTATGTTGTTAGTGGTTCATAAACTAAATACAAGGAAAAATCATGGCAAAGAGTCTGGGATTGGGTCCTATCAAATAACCTTTTTTCCGTGAATTTATTGTTTAGAATCACTGGAGTGTTTTGTTATCCCTGTGGGAAACTCATCTACAAGACCAGACCTGGCTTGTATATACTTGTTGTAGCTGCAGATACTTTAAACGTCACAACCTCTTCGTTGTCAAGAGGCAACCTTTGGCCTGAAGCCACCAAACTGACTGCGCGGGCTCTGGCTTGTACCTTCTTCTCCTTTATGGGTTTGGGTGATAATTGCCACAAAAAACCCACCTCCAAAACCAAGTAGGAATTGTAACTGGAGCCTGCCAGTGATGTTTGTCGGGGCAGTTACCTCCAGGGTAGTTCCTGCAGACAGCCCGTGCCTCTCCTTGGAGGGCAGAGCTCTGTTGCTGATGGGGCTGGTGTGAGAAGGGAGCTGGTGTGACGGTAGGAAGAGATGCAGCTTCTGTTTCTGCAATAAACCGCAGTGATTTTCCTGCCCTGATGTTGGCCAACCCTTCCCGACTCTGGCTGTGTCCCAGCTGGCCGACCGGCTCGTCCAGCCCAGCAGGGAAGGGTTCTGGCAGGCTGGCTGGGACATGCGGGGCTGCCGGGGTGCGGGTGCCGCTCTGCCCTGCCTGGGAAATCCCTCTCCCCACTCTGCAGCTCCTGCAGCCCCGTTTGTGTCTGGATTTCCCTGGGCTACTCCGAGTTGCAGTGGCTGCATCGCGCTGGCATGGCTGGAGAGGCAGAGAAGGGGCATTAGGGGACATTCTGGATTTCAAGGGGGTTTGGACCCTTAGCAGCCCCTGGCATTGAGTGGTGTCCCTCGTCCCCTCGCTCTGCTGGGCCTGGGGTTCCTCACACCAAGGATGCTCACGTGCAGTGGGACGGGAAGGATGGGGCAGCGGTTTGGGTGTTGCTCCCGGTGCAGAGATCCAGGTTCAGCTTCTGCTTCTCACGGAGACTTCTCCTCTGCTCTTGGCAAATCGGTTCCTGTGTTTCCTCACCCTGCACGCTGTTTCTGTAGCTGGGTCCTCAAGGCACGAGGTGTGCAGCGAGCCAGCGTGGCCGTGACAAGGGACACTGCTCAGTTCTGCACAAGGAGGCTGGAGCTGACAGCAGCACTGACCCGTGCCGGGTGCTGAGCAGCACCTTCCCCCTTGTCCTGCTGCCCGCAGAGAGATGCAGCTCCTTCCCTCTGCCCTCGCCCCGCAGCCACCACACGCAATATCTCTGTGTTGTGAAACCATTTCCTCCGGCCGGGCTCCCCAGCCTCACCGCACACCCGCCTCGTTGCCGGGCCAGTGGCCAGTGTGTGCTGGTACCCGCAGGTACTGGTGCTCTGCACAGGGCCCGTCCTCCCTCCTGCCCCTGGGTTTGTGAGGTGTCAGCACAGACCTCGGCACTGTCGGTGCAGGACACGCGGGTGTTCAGTGTGGAAAATAGAGCCCAGGTGTCTGCTGTGCCCCAGCTGAGGTGCCACAGCTCAGCCTCCTGGCACAGCCCAGAGCTCATCGTTAAGCCTCACTGTATGTGCAGTGGGGATGGTTAGAGGAGCACGTGTCCCACAAACACATCAGGCTGCAGAGGTGAGGTGTACACTCATGTGAGGTGATGTTTAATTATTCACCAGCTCTCATCTCCCATCTCAGCACCTCTGGCAAACCGCCGGGGTGGGGCCCACACCCTCTGTAATTGGGGTGCCTTTTTCATTTATTATTTTTTAAAGGGACATTGCTGTGTTTGGGCTGGGAGGACAGAGACGATGGTGCCCAGTGCAGGCATGGGGCTGCCCAGCGTGGTTATGCCTGTGCCCTTCACCCCATTTCTTTCTCCCATAGGTGCCAAAGGGCGGCAGCGTCCCACCAGCCACAGAGATCACAAAGCCTCCAGTGGTAGCCCAGGCCCAGGAGAGGAAGCCCCAGGTGGCCTACAAAACCGAGATCATTGGGGGGGTGGTGGTCCATACGCCCATCTCCATCAACCAGGTGAGCTGGCAGGATCTGTGCACCATCCCAAATCCTGGGAGTAAAATCCCTGTGACATCAGCACCCCACTTTGGTCTCGCTATTCCCTGTGTTTTAAGAGCAGCTCCTCATGGGGATAAGCAGAAGGTGGCAGCTTCCCCCAGGCAGGGCTGCGCGAGGGCATCCCCACCACACCCTGCTCTGATGTCCAGCACCTCGCTGCCCTTCAGTGCTTGAGCCAGGCTTTGGGGGGTCCCTGCCCACTGGGTTTTGTATCTGGCTGCTGTTGTTGCCCTCCCAGCAAGGGTGTGCTGCCTCTCGAGTGGGGCAGAGCAAGGGTGGCTGTGTCTGCACATCACTTGTTGTAAATGAGACTCAGATTTCTGCTTGAGGAAGGGAGAGTGGAGGGGAAGCGAGTGCCGGGGTGTTGTTGCTGCTTTAGCATCCTGCTGTGCCCCACCAGTACCGAGCAGGGCGATGGATGGAGGAACACTGGTGATCTGTAGCAGTGATGGGCTCCATCCTCCTCTAGCCCACGGGCTGGAGCAGCAGAGCTTGTGGACGTGGGTCCTGCAG